GACTGGTGAGTGGGCTGGTGCGTAGCAGATTAGGTCTACCTAAGACCCCAGCTTTGGTGGAGGTCCCATGTAACTCAAATTTGCCTAATGGCTTGATCATAAAGAAGTGTTGTTACATTCTTGCCTGGGCGATATCAGAATTAACGTCATGGTTCATAATGGTACTAACCATAGTGTTTCGCTTCCACCACACTCCATAATTGCAGACTTTTATACCTACCTGATTGGGTGAAGACTTTATCACCCGATGACTTGCGTGCTAGCTTCAGCACTTCTACAACCAAGCAAAATGTGAAACGTACAATGTGTTGCAGCAATAATGTAACTGTCTCAACTACAAATGAAGAATCCCAGTTTGATGCAGAGGTTACTGTAGACTTTGGAGATTCACCTCTTACCCCTGATGACAGGTCACGTATCCTAAAAAAGCTTAACCAACGTGCCAATGTTTTCTCCAAGCATGATTGGGATATAGGTCACGCTTCGGCAGTAGAACACTGAATACCTTTGAATGACACTACACCCTTTAGGGAACGTTCTCGGAGGTTAGCCCCAGCCGACTTTATGGACACTAAGCGCCATTTACAAGAACTTCTTGATTCTGGGATAATCAAAGATTCTAAAAGCCCATATGCTTCTCCCATTGTAATAGTACGCAAGAAGTCTGGTCAGTTGAGACTCTGTATCGATTATTGCACGCTGAATCGACGTACCATTCCAGATCAGTACACTGTCCCAAAGATGCAGGAAGCTCTGGACTCATTGAATGGATGTGTTTGGTTTCATGTATTAAATTTAAAATCTGGTTATTATCAAATTCCCATGTGTGAAGAAGACAAAGAGAAAACTGCTTTTATCTGCCCTCTTGGTTTCTTTCAGTTTGAATCAATGCCCCAGGGTGTCTCGGGTGCCCTTGAGGTTAATGGAGAAGTGTACGAGTGATATGTATCTCCTTGATGTGCTTGTTTACCTGGATGATCTGATCGTATTTGGCAGAACATTGACTGAAGCAGAAGATAGGCTAATGAAAGTTTTAGATAGATTGGTGGAATATGGTCTCAAACTGTCACCAGGGAAATGCCAACTATTTAAAAAAATCTGTCAACTATGTTGGACATGTAGTAAGTGAAGAGGGTGTGAAACCTGATCCAGACAAGATCGAAGCTTTGGTCACATGGCCCACTCCTACTAATATCAAGCAACAAAAGTCATTCTTGGGTTTCTGTGGGTACTACAGGCGATTTGTAGAAGATTATTCCAAAATTCTTAAACTTTTGAATGATCTAACAGCTGGCTACCTTCCTCCCAAATTAAAACAGAAACATCGAACCAAGTCTAACCCAACCATCGCCATGTCAGTGACAGAGCCTTTTGGTGACAGGTGGACGATCCAATGTCAACGAGCCATGGAAATTATCATTGACAGATTGACTAAAACCCCAGTGTTGGCGTTTGCAGATCTGTTGCATATGCTAGCCGTGGACTAACCAAGAGTGAAAAAGCGTACCCTGTACACAAGTTTCTGGCACTAAAATGGTGTATATCACAGACAAATTTAGGGATTATTTGTATGGTGCTAAGTTCAAGGTACTCAGAGATAATAATCCAGTAACCTATATTTTGACCACTGCCAAACTTTATGCTACTGGGCATCACTGGCTGTCTGCGTTAGCTGCATTCAACTTTACCCTGCAGTACAGAAGAGGCCCCACAAATATCGATGCTGATGGACTGTCAAGACGTCCCAGAAGTCCCCCCCCCCATTGATGACCCACACTTTCTTATCACTGAGCAGAAAATCCAACGTCTGAAGTCACGGCTCCAATGGCAGGGAGAAGAGACTGAAGAAGTTCTACCTGGTGCAGTGATTGGTGCGATTGCTACTAGTCATGGTGTACAATGGAGTAATCAATCTGTGGATGCCCATTGTGTAACACTACATCTGCCTACAAAGATCTGCTCAACTACTCAAACGCTATATGAGCCTTAATTGAAACGATATCGATGTCCCCAGACTCAATCCCATCACAGTACTGTTTGCCTAGACAGCCTGGCTCAGATTTGTCACATGCCTCAGTGGTAACTGACTGGTATGAAGCCCAGAGAGCGAGAACAGAAACATAGATATAAATCTAGAACTACCCCATATCACCCTCAAGGGGACCCACAACCTGAACGGTTCAATCGTACATTACTCAACTTACTTGGTACCTTAGAGGAAAAGCAGAAATCCTATTGGAGCCAGCATATCAGCTTCCTTGTGCATGCTTATAATTGCACCAAAAGTGATGCCACTAACTTCTCCCCATACTACCTAAAGTTGGAAGAGAGGCTAGACTCCCACTCGACCTTTGTTTGGGTTTAGGACACCTGGAACTCCAGTTCAGACTACTTGCAAGATACCGAAGAACTGAATAGTAGTCTACAAGATGCTTACAAACTTGCTACACGAGAGGCAGACAAATTAGCAACTACAACAAAAGGCGATACGATGGCAAAGTCGGAGTATGCGACCTACAAGCTGGTGATCAGATCTTAGTCCGTAATTGTGGGCTGAAGGGTAAACACAAATTGGCAGATAGATGGAGACCAGAGTTGCATACTGTGGTCAAGAGAGTTGGTGATCGTATTCCAGTCTACGTGGTTCGACCAATATAGGGAGATGGGCCAAAAACAACAGTTCACAGAAATATGCTATTACCTGTGGGTTATCTATCTGGAACAGCAATCAAATCAGACCCTTCACCCATATTTCGCCCTATAACCAGACAGTACACTAGGGAAAAGAAAAGTATTGACATTGTCAACTCCAGTAGTGAATCCGATGAAGACTATTATGAACAACATATTCCAATCACCACAGATATTGACTGTAAGCATTCAGAGATGGGAAAGCAGAGCACGAATAGGCCCTGTCATCAACCAAATGATTCCACCATAGTTACAGATGTGTAAGAATTTGACTCCCGTATTATCAGTCATCCAATGTCACAGCTGGATGGTAATGAACATGCATTACAACCAAAATCGCAGACAGACACTAATCTGGAAAGCACACCATTGGACTATCCACCTAAAGACTACTCCACTGGAAACTGTTCCAGGCTTTGCGAACGCCTTATTAACGGAACTGGAAATATTGTATCTACCGGTAATTCAGATAAGCATGGTCTAAGTAATGGTAGTACTATTGAAGAATCTCCTACGATGTCTCCAGCTATTAGAGTTAGACCTCGGAGGATGAATGCTGGCATACCAGCAGAAAGACTAACTTGTGATAGACTAGGGTCCCCAAGTTCCAGGATTATTTATGATAATTTTCACTTTATTCCATGGTTCCATCCCAACAGACTTGCTTCTTCAGCTTGGGATGTTCTTGGTAGTTGCATTCAGTGAGGAAATGTAATTGTTATTAATCTTATTATTTTAATGGTGAAGTATGGTAGTTACTATATCTGAAGTTACTGCAGGTCGAGACGCCCTGATGAGTTGGAGGGGGGAGATGTAACCTGATTCCTAATAGAGTACAGATGTTTATATGCAAATGTTGGGTTGCTTCGCCCCATGGTGCAATGCGCTCTCTGAATCCCTTTTCACTTGTTGGTCGGTCACAATGTAGAGTGGTTGCCTGTCGCTTTTTGTGAGCCATGGAATTGTCTTGCCAGCAGTCGGTCCTTAAAGCTTGCACTAAGACTGTAATTTAAATTCAGGTATTTAGTAAACCATTACTTTTACCAAAGGTTGTATATATTTGTGATTAGTACACTTATTTTAGTATTTATCGCGTTCAATTTGAACACCTGGCTACCGGCACGTCGGAGCTTGAAAATATGCGTACCGTATTTCTATGCCATACTTTGTGAACTCTTTTTTTTGTTTCATCTAATAACATTTAATGATATCATTACTCGGTTTTGTAGTGAAATGTATACAATTTATATTTATTGAACTGTATATTTATATCGCTATTTCCACCACGTGACGTTCCAAATTTGACACGTGGGAGAAGTTGTCCTTAAAGCTTGCACTAAGACTGTAATTTAAAATCAGTTGCAGAGTTGTCGGGCTATATTTTTGCGCCGTAATGGAGAAATTGGTAGACCCGGAACACGTAACCAGGGTCCCCGAGTTGGCTACAAATAACCGTATTGTCAAGCTGGATAACTACCTTGCTGTTGCAATTATTGCCAATATATGAAGGGATTATAGTGAACTGTAGTGATTTGTTAATTGTATTTTATATTATTGTTAAATGAATGTATCTGCGAACATGTCCTGCCCAAATAGTGTAATCAGTACTTAATCTATTTCTACCGGGGTGCCACTGTTTTGCATATTGTTATATAATAGTCTATTGCCATTATTGGTTGTTCCACTATCGTGTATACGTTACACATGC